TTTTTTTTTTTGAAAATTTGGGTGTTTTCTAAAACTTGAGATATTTTCCCCTTAGAACCTAGTTAACTTTATATCTCAAGGATAAAGAGGTACGAGCCTATAGAACAGATCCTGTTCAAGTAAGGATAAAGAGGTACGAGCCTAGTTAACTTCTGAATGCATAAACCTGATCCTGATGTTTCATCTTTTCCTGGTTAAGGTTGACGGTAGCATGTTCGTAAAGAGCTTCAAAGAGCTTCAAATATGCAGGCCACAGAAATTCCAAGAATGGAATTGCACAGTTACAAATTTCATGGATTTTGTATGAATCTCACTAAGTGAAAACAACATGGACTACGCTTTACAGAAAATCAAATAATTTGCATATATATAAACACATAAAAGTAATGGAAATATATATACACACACACAAAGAAATTAAAGAAGAATGAAGTTCAATGGCCTTCCAAAATATGCAGCTTAATTTCACTGCCAATAAATAAGAATCCTATTCTCTACATTCAATGTCATTCACCATCTTAATCGATTACCAATTAAATAAGAGAATTAATATTGAGTCACCAAATAATAGTCCTCATTAGTGAAGTCCTATAAACAATAATAAAAAAATTACAGAAACCGCAGTTTTTTCTGTCAATCCTTAATCAAACAACCCTGAGACAAACCAAACATCACATTTTCACTCTACTTTTGCGAAGAAGACTCTGCAAACACAACCCCAAAACCTCTCTATTACTTTTCTTCAATTTTTTGTCTTTTATATTTCCCAACACATGCACAAAGAACATATCTTTGCATTCCCAACACGTGCGCAAAGAACTTACCTTTCCAAAAACCCAAGAATCCCATTGTCTCAATCACAGGACAACATGGAAGCTATACAATTTGAAACAGTGGTTTGGATCGAAAGTCCATCTCGGAATGGTAGATAATTGTCCACATGATTTGGGCACACCTTTTACATATTTACTTATACCACTGTTAAAATCTATTGTTTACTATGCACATTCCAAATGCCAATAAACAAATGCTAATCTGTAAAATTAAGCAGATAAGGTCACTTGACAATTATATTAAAGATTACCTTATCGAGAAAATTATGGGGCAGCAAAATTTACTTTGGCTCGACAGCCAAGCCGACTGCGATTGGCGAGAATGGAAAACAATGAAGAAAAAATACTATGCCCAAAATCATGCTAATGTAAATAATCTATAATGTATAAAAGGTAAGCGAACCTCAACTTACATTCTTATTCTGCGGTAAGGTACGAAACACAGACAAATCACACCCGCACATACCACGAACAAGCAATCAAAATCTGTAAAAGAAGAAAACCAAGATATAGAAATGCCTTTGAGAAGTTTGAACCCACCACAAAAAAATTTGATTATGCTCTAGCCAACACACACAAAACACAATAAAATGCAAATAAACTAAAAAACCAATTGCAACCGGTACAAAAAAAAATTATAAAAAAAGAAGAGTCTGCAGAAGAAGTACAAACCCACAATCAGCTACATGAGGTAACAACAAACTTTCGGCGGAAGGAACCCCAATTCGAGGACATCAAATCAACGTACAAGGCCTAACAGCGAAACCGCAGGCACGTCGCGGATTTTCTGGGCAGGCAATCCTACAAAACTATGTCGTTTCAAAAGAAGAAGAAATGTCAGCTTTATTTCATTCAAGACAACAACACAAATACACACAAAAAAACAACTAATCACATCTTCAACCCAACTCGAAGAAATAGAAAAGATACCATTTTTATGAAGAAAAAAATAAAAACAAAAAAGGATTCAAAGATTTTGAAGAGAGCAAGAGCCAACTTACCATTAGGAACATAAGAGCAAAGCAAACCGTTCACACCAGCCTCAGCACCAGATCCATCTCCATTAACCATAATAAAATCTACAAAACATAAAAAATTCAAAATCAAACATAATAATAGTTAGCTTTTGCAGATTAACCCAAAAAGGGCCTGTGTTAGACTCTTGATCTTCATCAACAAGGTACTCTTTGTTCTTCTTCCGCTGCAAATACAGGTTTTTTCTTTGGTATTTCACCATTTTAGCTACTTATTTTTCTATTTTTTCTTTTTCAATTTCTATGAACAAATCTTGGACACGAACAAAAACACACACAACCAATCGAGCAAGATGTAACCCTTGTCCTTGATGTTTTTCATCTTCTTTGGGTCGTGCTCGGGCTCTTTCAGCACCTTGATGACCAGCGTGGCGATGGAGAACACTCTAGGGAGCTTCACCTGTTGTTTGTGGATCGTAAGCTTGATGGTTATGCGAAGGCCCTTCCAGTCCATGGCGGACGAACACTGTCAACCACCTGCGGTAGATCGAACTTCAGCGACATTTTTTGGGAAGGGATCTGTCAGGCTAGGGGTTCGAGTGGTGGGGGAGCAGAAGAAAGAACGGTTAAAATAGGGTTTGTGTTCCTTTTTGATTGTTGGATACTAAAAATTTCCTCATCTTCCAAAACGCCAGTGTGAAGAGGGGGGCGTGTTTACCTGCTCCCGTCTCGTCTCCGATTTGCTTTGCGCGACAATTCTGCGAAAAAAGAACGGAAAGATTTTTCTTCGTCTTTGACCTGCGGGAATTCGAGCAAAAGCAATTAGGTTTAATAATAAATGGAAAGAGAAAAACAAAATGAAGACGTTTTTTGACAGAATGTCTCTACTGGTAGCAAGTGTGAAAAAAAAAGGCAAAACCAAGGGTATTTTGGGTAGACCACATGCTGCCCGTCAATGGAGGGAGGACTGAAGGCTGAGATGGTGGTTTCGATGTGAACGGGCCGGCGTGGAGTTCTCTTCTCCGGCAGGCTTGAAGTGGACTGCTGAACTCACCGGAAAAGTACCGACGCTGCTCATCGCGAACTGAGACTGGGTCTCTTCGTGGATGGTAATCTGACGGGATCTGCTTGTGGTTATCGGACTGAGCCTGCACCTCCGACGATGGTGAGGTGCTTCTCGGCGATGGAAACTCGCGGCAGGGAAAGGCTGCAACAAGAGGCTTCTCATCCGGCTGCTTCTTGGTCCTCGCCGGCGAGAATTTGAAATCTGCGATGGAGGATCGACGGGGGCTGAGATGAGGATGATGAAGGGTTGTCTTTAGGCGATAAAGTCTGGGATTTCTGATAAATTTTGGAGAAGTTCGATCGAATTACCATGACGTAAATAAAATTCTGATTTTTTGAGAGAGGGAAGAAATTGTGAGCTTGGCGTTTTGGAGAGGAAGAAGTCAAAAGGAGAGACTTGGAGCAGGTGAGATTGATGTGAGAGGATTGCACGACCCGGAAGAAAAGGAAAACAATTGAAGGGCAAATCCATCAAGAGCAGAAAAGATATGGCTTCTCCCACTATACATAATCAGGTGGCATTTTTGTAATTACCAGGAAGAAGTAAGGTTATTATCGGATTAAATAATGGACACGTGTCAAACCCATAATCCCTCATACTTTTTCTTATATGTATGAGGGAGATAAGAGAGATAGATTATGTAGAACATTTATGTCAAAATATTATATGAATGTAACGTTGGTTGATCCATTCATGAAAATGAGAAGACAACACAACATTGCTTGAAAAACCAATCTTTGCCATGAAAAATTATGGTTGGATATAATTCTTTCGTCAAAAAAAAAAAACAGAAATTTTACTATATTTTATAATTTTTCCTAAACGGGCCAGCAAAAGAGAAAAAAAAGGGCAATTTGCATTTATACGGTAAGGAATTTAAAAGAATTGCATAAATACAAAAATAAAAACTTATTTGCAAATATGCCTAGTTTAACAAAATTATTTGGATAACTACTGTCAAACAAAAAATAAACAGTTGCCATCATAAGATTTCCGTAACTAACGGTATTCTTTCATTAATTAAAAAAAAAAAAAATCTGAAGTATACAATCACAAACAACGTCGTCCATCACGAGCAGCGTCAATCACAAGCAGCGTCGTCCATTTATGGATCAACGAGATGGTGGAGAACACAACATATACAAAAAATATACATAATATAAACAGTATATATACGACAAATATACAATATATATACTTATGATCATGTCGATCCTACGAAAAAACCAAACTATACACACTCTAATAGCGTGCGTATGAAAAAAAAAATATATAAACAGTATATATACGAAAAATATACAGTATATATACCTCCAACTACACAAACAACAAAAAAGGTATAAATATACTACATATATACGCCATATATACTGTCTGGTGGAGATGAAAATCGCGAGCAGGGAGATTGACGCCCTACGTCACGATCGCCCTTCGCCGGTCACTGTACAACATCAGTTCGGAAAATTGACGTCAGTCAGCGCCGCTGATCACCGCTCCTCTGTTCGTCACCTGGGCATCGTCCACCATCAAGATCTGCAAAATCGGAACTGAAATACAAGAAAAAGGTGATGAAATTTTGGTGATTTTGAAAAGAATTTTGAAGGTGGCGGTTTGATTTCGGATTTGGGAAGTTATATCTGCACATCGATGAGAAGATGCAGATGAGATAAGTAAGAAATGAGAGAAGAATTGACGGCGAAGAAAAAGGGGAAGATAGGGAGGTGTTGGATAAAGAATTCTCCCTATATATAATTCCCGAATGCGCTGAGCCTACGTGGTTGAATTTTCATTTGTTTCCTTCAATAAGCTATTGAATTATAAATGTATTTTAAAAGTTGATAACTTTTGTATTTCTTATCGATTTTACATATATAATATATCAAATTAATCATATTTTGATGATCTTCGATTTGACATCCATATTGTATATATGAAATAAATAAATTATATTTATCTTTATAATAATAAAAAATAATAATATTTATTAAAATTCATTAGAAAAATAAAATTATTTCTCAATTTATATATTTATATGTAATGTAATTATTATTGTAAGTTAAAAAAAAATAGTATAATATAACACAAGTAAGTTGCACAAATAAAAAGTGTCATAATAAATATATAATAATATATATTCTTATAAAGGTATTTAAATTTTCAAACTACTTTTTTCTCATTAATTTTAAATTGTAAGAAAAAAAATTAGCAAGCACCCGTGTAATACACGAGTGTTGTACTAGTGTAGTATTATTTCAAATAAAAGTTAAAAGTGGTAGCATAATTACAAATAAAAAATATAGGTTGTATATATACTAATAAAACTGATTTCGATAGTGTGTAGGGTATATTTTTTTTTTTAAAAAAAAAAACAAAGTTCCCAGTTTGGCCCTTAAAAGAAAAACTTCCCGTCCCTTCCACCGCCACAGCTAGAATCTTTCGTGATTACGTCATACATCCTTCAAGCTCATACACTTTTTGTACAATCTGTAATATCCATTAGCGAATTACCACCAATTATCTGAAAAAAAATTAAAAAAAAAATGTTTAAAAAGGCTATGGAGGCGAAATCACAACAGCGGCTGTCGGGGGCAGACCGTAAAAAACTGAAACGTTCAATCAGAGAACGATTCCCTAACGCTTCT